GGGCACTATATATGTTATATGTATTGTTTCATTTAAGTTATTCTACAGCCCTGCAAGGAAGGCTTTCACCACATTTTACAGATCAGCAAAATGAGGCATATATTTATGAGAAACTTAAGTTTAGTGGGTTGCCATGGTTATGTAGTTTATGGGTTTAACTGGGCTGAACATGTAAGCTGTACATGTATTTGTCTTATAGCTAAAGTTACGTTTATTTCATAATGCTATTCTGTGCTCTGCTATGGCCAACCTCATCTTCAGATGAGTTTATAAACAGTGTAGAAAAAGGTCAACTTGAAACAAGCAGTTCGTAATTATTTGGATTTGGAGAGATTACTTAGATATCATAGGGCATTTGGGAGGTGGGTGTCAAAGGTAAACAAGTTTTAAAAGTCAACTTGGCATACTCTTAATAAACTTTAAGAATAGTCAGCCATTTTCTTGGTTATTTCTTTGTGCTTATGAGAAAATGAAGTTCTTCTAAAGTAATGACTCTAACTTTTGGCAGACCCCCAGTAAAGGCATTTCATATTGCTATTTAATATTTGCATATCACATAAACATATAAGAATCTGAAACTAGTTCAGCCAAAAGGAAAGCATTTTATGCCCTGGGTAGAGTGTAGAGGGTGTATATAGGGGAAGATGGGGCAGGTGACACTGGAACTGTATATTGAGTGTCAGTACATCTTCCTATAGATTGGGAAGCCATCAGATCTTTTAAGTTGGAGGGGAGTGGCAAAGGATGTTTACAAAAATGTTTTACCTAGTGAGCATGTTGATGATAGGCAATATTAGAGGTCATAATAAAAGTTTTGACTATTTGAGGGGCAATAGGAATGGAAAATAAAGGCTGGATTGGAGTCAGCATGTTAACTGTTATGCATTAGGGCATATGGAAGGAATTATAAGTATTTGGAGGAAGGTGAGAAATGGTTTTGCTTTTGACCATGTTGAATATGAAATACTAATAAAACAGTCCTTCTTTAGGTGGAAATGACAAGTTAGGTTGGCGATGAGAGCAGGAGTTAGAGTTGGTGCATTGGTGACATTGGTAGATGAGAAATTATGAGAAAACCTAAGACCACTCAGGATAATGTATAAAACAAGAACAAGGGCCAAGGTTCAGTTTTTTAAAAGATGGCTTCATGTGGAGGAAAGGAAAAAAGCTAAATAGTTTCAGAAGAACTGATTCCTGGCTTAAGCCAGTAGTTTATGTATTTCAGGACCTGCTTCCCTTCCTATTGCTACTTTCATTTGAAAAGAGGATAGCTGCATTAACTGAGTGGTTGTCCAGATCTTGCCTGGGAATTCTTAAAATTAAATCTCTGAAACCTTTTTAAGGGTCCTAGCATTGTTTTTGTATACTTTAAACAAAACAAAAGATTACTAGTATGTTGAATTGTAGAAGCAGGTGGGAGAATCCACCTATCTTATTTTAAAATAGATATTAGAGATCTGTAAAAATGTAAGGCAGTACACTCATCTAAATTGGTTTGATTTTTGAGATAGTCTCGCTCTTTTGCCTGGGCTAGAGTACAGTGTTGTCATCGTAGCTCACTGTACCCTCAAAGACGTTGACTCAAGCAGTTCTCCTACTTCAGCCTCCCAAGCAGCTTGTACTATAGGTGCGCACTGTTGCAGCTAGCTAATTTTTGTGTTTGTGTAGAGATGGGGGCTTGCTGTGTTGCTCAGACTGATATCAAGCTCCTTGACTGAAGCAGTCTTCCAATCTTGGTCTCCCAAAGTGCTAGGATGAGCTACCCCCTCTTGGCCTAAGTTTCTTTGCTTTGAAAAATACAGTTATGTTGGAGAGTTGAGTCCATTTTCTTCCCCACTGCAAGACTATGTTGCAGTCATCTCCATTTTAGAAAAATGTAGTTATTTTTCATAGTAAGTGTTATTTGTGTTAACATATATTGGAATTTTATTGTTAGGAATTAGTATAGTTTAGCAGTTTTTCAATTTTAATTTCCTAACACACAGTAAATCCCTTAGATTTACATCCTTGTTATTTTCAATGTAAGGAGGTCCTGAGATCAGAAGTTTCAGAATTGCTAAATTAACCATAATGTTTTGTTTTTGAAGTGAGAATAAACTATCCATTTCACTGGTGTGAATTAAAAAATTTGTGAACATTCTTGCCATGAGAGTTCTCAATTAATATTAAATATCTTTTTTTTTTTGCTGGTGAATGTTTTTGAATTTTATTTTGATAGGTCTTTTAAGGTACATTTTGCTTTGGTAAGAGGGTTGCTGAAATAAGTTATCTATTTACCTAGACTTCCATATCTGTCCATATATATAAAACCTTTAGAAAACCACTTAAACATGGGTCTGTGGGTTTATGCAGCTAGAGAGACACTGCTATTTTTGTTTAGTATTTTTGTTCATTTAAAACCCTTTAAAGCAGTGATTCTCAACTTTCCTAATGCTGCAACCCCTTAATACAGTTCCTGTGGGTTGCGACCCACAGGTTGAGAACCGCTGCTTTAAAGATATATATTCTTAGAGAAGCAGCATAACCATCCCCTCTTCCAAGTTGTTTCTTATTTGCATGGGCAGCCTGACTAAAATGTAATACAGGAGTGCAGCAGCCAATATTCTTTATCAAGTATCACTGTACCAAAAGACCCCATGTTTCCATGGTGTCAGAGTCTAAGTCTTTTGGGAGCTTTGATGGAGACCAGTCATCTCTTAGCAGTGGATTTCTGTTTTATGTGGAGAGCACTTAACATTTTCCCATGGTTCTTTAACATTTAAGTGACTAGGGAGGAACTGTAAAAGCAGAGGCTCTATTAGCTTCTGTTGCTGATGAAACAGGCAGGACATGTACTGTCAATCAAGGCAACCAACTTGTGCCTAGAAATTCCCCCTTCTACCTTTATGCCCTTCTTATTTGGGGAAGTGTTCTTGCCCTGGGTCCTGTTGATTTTTGAGACTAGAAAGTCTTAAAATTGACTTTTAAGATGGTACCTAATGTGTTGCCATTGTGCAGACTTTTCTGAAGGAAGAGTTAGTGCTAGGAGATAGTTTCTGGTGGCTTATAAACCGAACTTTGAATTAAAAGTATAGCTTTAGGCCAGCACAGTGGCTCATGCCTGTATTCCCAGCACTCTCGGAGGCTGAATGGATCACTCAGGTTCAGGAACTCAAGACCAGCCAGAGCAGAGTGAGACCCCCATCTCCAAAAGTAGCTACGTGTTGTGGTGGTCCCAGCTACTCAAGAGGCTGAGTCAAGAGAATGGCTTGAGCCTAGGAGTTTGAGGTTGCTGTGAACTATGATGCTATGGCACTCTACAGAGGGCAATAAAGTGAGACTCTGCCTCCAAAAGAAAAAAAAAAGTACAGCTTTATAGCTACAAGGAGGGATGGTTCCTACTTTTACCTGCATTTTGTATCTTGTATAGGAATGTAAAAAGTTGTACTTCCTTGGAATATTTTTGGAAGTTAACATTGCTGTCATAATTGTAAGAAGTGGAATTTGTTGTAAGGTGGATTTTTTTTTTTCATTGTACAGAGAAATATCTGTTGAAGAGACAGTTCACAGTAAAGCCAGAATGGACCTACCCCATCTGGAATGTAATTGTGTCATATCAATATTACACATGACCCCTCCTTGGCTTAAAAGAGCTTTGCGTTATTATAAATTTGAGTTATAAATAATTGTCTTAGTCGTATGCCTAATTGAATTTTGTTTTAAATTATTGGAATGAGATAAATTGCTTTATGTTAAATGTACTTGATGTTCAGGCAGAGCAGAATTAATTTAAATGTGAAATTATTTGATAGATCCCACAGTGGTGTGTGGAGTATATGCGATCATTACCAGGACCCAAAAGAGGAGTTGCCTGTACCCAACCCAGAAGAGTGGCTGCAATGAGTGTGGCTCAGAGAGTTGCTGATGAAATGGATGTGATGTTGGGCCAGGAAGTTGGTTATTCCATTCGATTTGAGGACTGCAGTAGTGCAAAAACCATCCTTAAGTAAGTATTACATCTTTAAAAATGAGTGCTTTTCTTCCTCTGCTTGTAGTTTTATGCCACTAGATAGGGAACTTTAGTGCATGACCATAGTCATCCAAATTTAGAATAGAATTGTCTAGAGTAGACCTTCTTATTCTTAGACTTGCTAGATGACTTAATATAAATTCTTCTTTTTGGTGGTAAGATAACATAGCTATTCAGTAAAAATGAAGATCAGAGTTCAAATTTTAGCTAATTGGTTTGTATAGTAGGTGAAACATTACTAATACTCTAAAATGTGTCTTTAGTACGTGTACTTTGATATATTATTTAAATGTGATGGAAAATTAAAGTGATGCATCTTGGTAAAAACTGCTTTTAAAAGAATGGTGTGTAGGATGGAATGATTTGGAGGGAGAGGGGACTTTGGATGTTAATTATGCAGCTATTACCGTGCATATGTTATAAGCTAAAAAGAGGCATTTTTGTTCTGTGATATATTTTTGGAGCCTCCTCAAGGTCCTTGTCCCTGTTACAGTTGTGGTGCACACGAATACCATATTGAGCTTTTGTCAAATGTTGTAACTTTCCTGATTTTTTAATCCTCATTTTATACTTTCAGTCTGTTTGAATAGCAGTATTTGCTGCCTAATGGGCATTGTTTTGAAAATCTTACTTTCCTCTTGTTGCTTCTGCTTATCTGTGTTCATGTGACATTTTAAGTCAGTTTTAGAAAGGATTTCTTTGAGTTGGTGGTGGTACGTGTCTGTATTCCCAACTGCTTAGAAGGCTGAGGTGGGAGGATTGTCAGGCCATGAGTTTGAGGCTTCAGTGTGTTACGTTTGTGCCTATGAATAGCCACTGCATTCTAGCCTGCACAGCATATTGAGAGCCCATCTCTTTAAAAAATAAAATGATTTCTTTGTCACAATGCACTCTTTTTCTAGAGGATGTTTTTAAAAGACATTAGGGACAGAATGCTACATGGTCAGTGTTTGGAGTCTTTGATGGCATATAAATACAGTGTTAATGAAACAAGAGTCTTAAATAATGTTTTTTTTTTTTTAAACCATGTATTTTGTAGGAATTTTTAAGTATATGCAAAGGTTGAATAGAATAATAAACTCTACATGTATTTATCACCCACCTTCAACCACGTCAGTCTTATTCCATCCACATCCCAACCCTTTCCCTGTCCCAACTTACTTTGAAGCAAATTATTACCATTTTTTATATAAATGTTTTGGTGTGTATTAGATAAAACTAGGAATATCATTCTAATATCTGGTAACAGTTTGCATCGAAATTTCTTGAGTAAACAACCCTAGCATGGCTTAGTTGAGTAGAGAGAACAGAGTTGGGAAATTGGGATGAGAGATATAGTTACATGTAAGTGTTGGGACTGTGTATGTGTATAGAAGGAAGTAGAGAGAGGATAGGCTTTCAAAAGATGTATGCTTGTGAAAGACTATGGTTCAGTTGATAGGGAATGGGAGTTAGATATAAATGGATTTGATAGCTCAGAAGTGGGAGTCTTTTTGATACTGTCATGTTTTCTTTTGGAACACTTCCCAGAGATAGTAGTGAAACTTTCATTTAAAATTATTCCTGATGGGATAAAGCCTTTGATATTCCTTCTAGAATCTACTGAAGAGCTAAGAGATAGTCTGGCATTGTCTTTCTTTATGTAATATTAGTGAAAGAGTGTATTACTACCATAAGTGACCCCAAAAGGAAATAAAATTTTCAAATGTAACTGTCTCCTATTTGATAGGGAGAAGGCTGCTGGTAGTTTTAACTAATAAGAACCCTAGATATATTTTGAATAGTCATTTGTCAACTCATGGAGAATCCATATATTAAAAACAGCGAAAGCTTTGACTTACTGAAGATCAGATACATAGTTTATTGGGTAAGAATGACTATCAGTACTCTCTGGTAGCTACTTTCATGTATTAGTGACCTAATAAGTACCTTCTATGTGTCAGGCAGTGCTAGGTATAGTAATGGAAGTAAATCTGGTCCCAGTCTCCATAAAGCAAAGAAAAATATAGATAAAAATTTTCAAATTGTGATTAAGCTTCTGAAACAGAGTGTTGGGGTTTATATGAAAGAATGATTGAGAATTTAAGTTAGATTAGTAAAGAGGCTTGAAATGAAAGTAATGGTTAGTCAGAATACAGGTTGGAATGTATAGGGTGAGAACTTTCCAGGCAAATAGAACAGCATTTTTTAAAAACATTTTTTTTCTGAAAGGAAACTCATACTTGAATAACTTGAGAAAGCGTTGTCTAAATAGTCTCTGAGTAGCCTGCTGATTTCCGCAAGTCAGCATTTCCGTGCCAGATCTGTTTTAAGATGTTAAAGGACTTTTTAACCTCAAAAAGGCAATATAGATAAGATGAGAGAGAATCCCAAAGTATTTCAAAATGTAACAGCTTGATTACATACGCTGCTATGCTAAGGAGCTGGATGGTACTGAACCCCTAAGGTTGACAGTTAGAGGATTGTTGTAACAGCTTCTTGGGGTCTCTGGTGACAAGAGAATAAAGCACTGGTTGTGAGGGACTATTTAGAGAATTCAGTGTGGGTTTTCAACAGGACAATCTCAAAAATAAATGGCTTGAGAAGAGAACCAAAAGGAAATAGAGTTTTAGTACATACACACAACTTGTAGGATCACAGTGCCTGAGTTGTGTCCTAGCTCTGCCACTTAGGAGCTGTGTCCTTTGACTGTATGTTAATTAGCCTTCCTGTGCTTGGCGATTTTTCGGAAGGTGGAGCTGATACTTCATAGGGTTCGGAGATTAAATATGGTAGTCGGTATACAACCTTAAAGTCCTCCTGACACTCAGATTATTTTCCATTGCTGACTTCACATACATACATAGCTCAGTTTAACGTAACAAAGCTATATGTTTTGGCATCTGGTCTTCAGCATTTCAGATTTCTAAGAACAGATTACAAATGGGTATTGATTAAAACGTTGTAGATTGCAAATTATTCAAAATACATTGCCTTCCCATAAATGATGACTGGCCACTAGTAAGATTAGTATTTATCTTTTGGGGGTTAGGGGAATGGAGTCTTGATCTGTTGCCCCAGGTTAGAGTGCCCTAGGTCATAGTTTACAGCAAGCTCCAACTCCTGGGCTCAAGCAGTCCTCTATCCTCGGCCTCCTGAGTAGCTGGGACTACATGCACTTGCCATAACACCCAGCTAGATAAGATTAGTGTTTGTCATACTGTGTAATATTGTTGCTAAGAGTATGTCAAATTGAACTTGAGCCTATGTAAGTCATTGTTGACTTCTTTACCAATGAAAAGAACATTAAATATGTAGGGACCCTCTACTGGTATCAGTGGCTTTTTACTGACTTGGTTAAGGAGGTAAGCTATGAAACAATTAGGAAGGTAATTTGAATGAATAGATGATTTCACAGAGGAGGGTGTATTTAACCTGAGTTGAAAAGGATGGGGAGAGACTTAGGCAGTTCGACTAGCAGCAGCAAATAGTGTAAATCATTTTCTGGTACTCTAGGTAGATGAACTAGGTTATTATGTTTCAGTAATATCCCTATGGCACCCTAGGTCTAAATACTTAAGAATTCTATTTATTAAATAATTGAGTCCTAACAACTTAAGTTTTCTTTAAAAATACATGTACGTTGAAAAATATACCCTTTTTTCATTCTTAAATAACCATTATTTACCAGTGCGTCTGCACCATTTGAGTACTGCAGGTTTCTCAGATGTTGAAATCAGATTAGACACCACCCATATTTTCTACTCTGCATTTACTTTTGCATGCTACTCACTTTATAATAGTGACTTTCAAAAATCTAGCTTCACAGTGATGACATTGAAAGGAATGTATGATACAGTGTTAGAACTTTGCACTACCTGAAATCCATAGTCCTGCAGTGTCCTACGTGTTAATATAGAAAACAGTAAAAATTTTATGTGTTCAGTCATTAAGACAACATATTCTAGGTTATTTATTTAGCATTTAACAGATTGAATCGACAATTTAACTGTACCATATTGAGTGACCTGTCTGTACCCAAAAAAGTAGTTTAAACTTTCTGTTGGCTGTGGAAATAACATATAATAACCTTCTATAATAAGGTTATAGAAGTATTCCAAACTTGAATTGTGAAAGCCTCTACCATGAGTAGCAGATGATACATGGCCTAATCTTGAGGAGATCGTAATTTTTTTTTTAAAAAGTCTTTTTTTTTTTTCAGCTGTTGTGTTTACATGCATCAGATTTCCTTGAAGTTTTCTTTACATAACTTTACAAACTGAGAAACGTAGTGCTAGCCATTTTTATTACACGCACAGAAGGCACTCTTTTTTTGTTGTTTCTTGCAGTTTTGGCTGGGGCCAGGTTTGAACCTGCCACCCCCTACTGACGCCCTACTCCTTGAGTCACAGGTGCTGCCCCATGGCACTCTTAAAAGTTAATGCTGAATCTGAGTGATGATTGCAGAAGTAGCCAGGTTATCTTAAACTGGGTTACATATAAATGAATAGATGTCAATACTGTTTTTTGTTTTCTGTAGCATACAAAAGCAATTGATAATGGAATGAATTATTTTGATGTAGGAAAGTAATTTATGATGACCTTATTGTAGCTATTGACTTACTATGATAGCATTTACTGTGTAAAAATTCTTAGCTTTGCTTTGTAATTGATCATTTTGTAGTGCTGGCATAGTGAGGGATGGTGCCTTGGTCTTTTTCGGCTCCTGTAACAAAATACTGTAGATTGAGTAACTTATAAAACCCCCAAATTTATTTCTTGTAGCATTGGAAGCTGAACAGTTGAAGATCAAGGTGCGGGCAGATTTGGAATTAGGCAAGGATTGGATTCCTGGTTTATAGATGGCTCATGGTGGATAGGAATAGTGAGCTCTTTGGGGCCTGTTACAAGGCTGAGCCATCATGAGCTAATTATCTCCCAGAGGTTCCACCTCTTAAAATTGTCACTTTTCAGGGGTAAGCATTCCAGCGTGAATTTGGGAGGAAGACTGTTGAGACTATAGAAGGTCTACAGATAACATTAAAGAAATTACGAATCTGTTTGTCTAGGCATATTGATGTGGGTAAGCTTTTCTTTAAATTAGGGGCATTTTCAGGTTGTATTCAAGCTGACTAGTTAATCTAAAATTTGCTGCAAGTAGTGAAGGTTGTATACCTTTAGCATTTTAACATAAAAGCTATAGATTCATTTATCAATTTGTTAAAGTTAGACCAACACTATTTTGTTGCATGTGGGCCTTTTGTTTGGAGTTTCACTTAATTTTTAAGATGAAATTGAAACTTCAAAAACTTGTAAAATAAGTAGATATTGTTATTTTGGGCTTCAAGAGACTTAAAAGTGTTATAGAATTCTAGGATTCCAGGCCTCTTTTAGTCTCTTTTTTAAAAGAGCTCTCGCACATATTTAATAGTTTTCTGTGTGTGACTTGTTCCAAAATTTTCTGAAGCATGCAGCTTAGGGTTCATATATATATGTATATAAACACAAACACACACATAACACAGGGTGGCCATAAAGTTCATGTCCAATTTAAATAGTTACAACTTTTTTTTTTTTCTAAAACACAGTCTTGCTTTGTCGCCTGGGCTGAAAGTGCCCTTGACCTCAGCCTAGCTCACAGCAGCCTCAAACTCTTGGGCTCAAGCAGTCATCTCTCAGCCTCCTGAGTAGCTGGGAGTACAGGTGTACGCCACCACGCCCATCTGATTTTTCTATTTTTAGTTGAGGTGGGGTTTCACTCTTTCTCAGGCTGGTCTCAAACCCCTGATCTAAAGTGATCCTCTGGCCTTGGCGTCACAGGGTGCTAGGATTACAGACATGAGCCACCTAGCCCAAGGTTCATATTTTCAATTCCTTTTTCTGAATTTAGAGTTTTAATCATTTCAGGTCAAAAGTAATTGCCTTGACACAACTGGTAAGAAGGGAAATACCTTGTGTTTTGTCAGGTGAAAGGTTATCTCAAGCTTTTATTAGTTGCTGTGGAGTTAGTTAAGAGTGTGGTGTAGAGTTTTATTTATTGCATACTTAACCAGGTGGCAGGCAGTTAGTGTACTGAGTGCTTTATATATGTACATTGCTGTTTACTTTAAATACTGTTCATCCTATTGACATTTTACAAATGGAGCATTACAGAAGTTGAAGAAAATTGTCCAAGGTTAGAAAACAATTGTAAAGCAGCTTTGTCTTGCAGAAGGTGTGTTTTTATTCTTTTCTTTCATCCTCATTTCTTGTTCCATGTAATTCTCTGTGTAAGTATTTATAACGCTTTCTTAGGTAATATAGAAAGCAGTAAGTAAATCTGATTACTCAGACTAAAACATGTTACTCATTTATAATGGGTGCCTTTTGAAGCACATAGAAAGAATTTCTTTGGATCATGATGAATCAGGTTTTAGATTTTTTAGAAACAGTTTTGATTTAACTGCATATTTAGTTACTCCAGAATAAAGCCTATCCTTTGAAAGGCAACCAAACTAACAGAAGTGAAATAGCACAGCACACGTAGGATTTTCATGACAGATAAAACTTCTCCAGCATTTATACCAGAGCTTTCATGTGCATAATAGTGTGGGGATTGTTCTAGAACAGTTAATACCAAATTGATTCATCTTTGTAATTCATTTATGATTGTACCCTAGTTTGACTAATCCTATGGATGGATACTCAAATTTTCAGTGTTGCTATTAGAAAGTCACTGTCCTCTTAGAATCTTGTACACTTTTTAACACATGCACATCTGTGAAATGAAGTAAGTTCGTATGAGTAAAATTGGTTCGGAGGGTATGCTTGAGTTTGATCAGCTTTTGCCAGACTGTGCTCCATAGAGATTTTATCCACTCTCCATAGTAAGAAATGAGCAGATGAGCATCTCTTTCCCTTGCTAGTGTGGCATTCTAGAACTTTTTAATCTTTGTTTATCTTTTATTTGAAAAATACAATCTTCTCATGGTTTTAATTTAAATTTATTTCATATGAAATTAAGCAGCTCTTTACATATATGTCTAATTAGCCATTTGTATTTCTTTCTGGAGTCTGAGACTGGTGCTTGTCTCATTTTTCCACAATTGCTGCCTGGTTGACAGCCTGTATCAGGTGCTATTTTAAGATGCATCTCAGTTTTAGAAAAGATAAATTTGACAATATTTTACATAGAATTGATGAAATTTGATATTCTTTTCCTATTTTTAACATTTCTGCTGGAAAAGAATGACTGGTCAGCCCTGTTCCATATTGTTGTGGGCGTTCAAAGCTTGAGGAGAGTGAGGAAGAAAAAGATTAAAATAAAAGAGGGTGTCTTTATATGAATGAGTTTTAAGAAGTTTTGAAGTTGAAGTCTGATATTTTATCAGTTATGTGACTGTCTCCTCACATATCTAATGTCTGAGGTTAGACTGTACTTCTGTCTGTGGAGGTCTTGTGATTTGTGGCAGTTTTAATGGTCACCATTGCATCTGAGTGCTTGGACTTGATCCAGGTGTGCTTGGCATTACTTCAGCTAAGTAATGTGAATTGTTGGCACCGTAAATGTGGAGATTCTTTGCTAATTACAATGCCTCCAAAAATATTGGAGTAGAGTCCATGTTGAAATGAATAGTTATTGAGTACCCAGAAAGACTGGGAAATGGAGAGGCGGGGGTAAACTTGATAGTATTTGAGGGGATATTGGAAGAGAAACCAATTAATAGTTTTACCCTGCAAAGCAACAAAGGAGCCCTATTGAAGCTAAGGAAGTTAGCCACAAGTGAGTATTTCTGAAAGGCAAGAGAAAATGCCCAGAGTCCTTAGATGAAAGAGATTTCAAAGCAGCTGGAGGCTATAGTGTCACTGCTTGATACATGGTGCTAGACTCTGGGGTTGGGTCATAGTTTAATTGGCAGTGTTTTTCCTTTTGTGTTCTTACACAAAGTTATCTTGCAGCTAATGTTGTTGATTCCAGAAATGTGATAGTTTAATTTTTTAAATGTGACTAAGGAAAAAGAAACATAAAGTATATAAATGAATAAAGATCAGTTTATCAAGAATATATTAAATTAAGAATAAAGTTTAAGTGAAATAGAAGGATTCACTTCTTTCTGTTGGGTACTATCAGTTTGTTGAACTTAAGGCTCTAACAGATGGCATTGGCTAAAAATAACAAGTTGGTCCATGAAAGATTAGCCTAGACTCGTCATGAAAAGAGCCAAAATAGTGAAGATACAAATGATCACTTCAGATTTTTATACCACTTTAAATCTGTAAATAAAATCATGGGTTTTTATTTATCTGAATGAGCTGTGACTTTAGCAAGTAAGGGCATACTGTGTTTTGTCCAGGTGCCAAACTGAGGTTAGTAGTTTTGTAATGGTTACAGCGGCAATCTAAGTGGAATGGACAGGAGACAGCTGACCCACACAGTGCTCTGGAAACCACCCTTACTCTGTGATTGCCTCCATTCTTACCCAGGTCTCCATGATCCCTCTCCTGTGATGACTAGATTCCATATTAACTGCCCTTTTTTGAGCCATCCCTAAGCCTGGTTTCCCTCTCGTTTTTGGTTCATTGATGAAATAAATTCATTTTTTCAGGTTCGGTGCCCTGAGTAGGGTGCTGGCCACATTCACTGACATTGGAGGGTTTCAAGTCTGGCCCGGGCCTGCTAAACAACAGTAATAATTGCAACCAGAAAAATAGTCGGGCTTTGTAGCAGGCACCTACAGTCGGCACCTGCAGTCCCAGCTACTCGGGAGGCTGAGGCAAGAGAATTGCTTAAGCCCAAGAGTTTAAGGTTGCTGTGAGCTGTGATGCCATAGTATCTACCAAGGGGCACATAGTGAGACACTGTCTCAGAAAAAAAAAAATTCATTTATCTTAATGATTTTTGGTTTGGCATTTGTATGAAATCATGTTATTATTATATTTTGTAATCAGGAATCTCTTGTTTCCTCCGTACATTTAGGTGTTACAGTTGACATTTGACAAGCTTTGATGATGCATATTTTGTTCGGTGATACTTTTGGAAAATTTTCTTGAAGATTAATTTTGCAATTATGAAATAGTAGCACTTTTGTCTTCAGCAGAAGTTTATTTTTTATTTACCTGTATAATGTCTTTGCATTTCATTTTTATGGTCTGAAGTTTAGTTTTAAAATGACCTAAATGATCCTTGACCAACATGTTCTTTGTAAATATAGGTATATGACTGATGGCATGTTACTTCGTGAAGCTATGAATGATCCCCTCCTGGAGCGTTATGGAGTAATAATTCTTGATGAAGCTCATGAAAGGACACTGGCTACAGATATTCTTATGGGTGTTCTGAAGGAAGTTGTAAGACAGAGATCAGATTTAAAGGTGAAGTAATTTCATTTCTAATCTACTTTGTAATGTCTTCATTTTAGATTTTAAGTATATTTTTTCCTACTTGTAATAATGTATTTTTAAGTCAGATCTTCTCAGGTTTTAACTCACCAGATTATTTTGTAATTTTTTTTTTTATAGATGGTATTAAGTACAGGAAGTTTTTATTTTTACATTTACATGTGATTATTAGGTTTCTACTTTTTGCCTTCACAGAATTAAAAAGGCTTAAAATTTCCAACAATAACAATGTTTAAGATAAGGACTATAAACAAAAACCTTGTAAAGAAGGAATGAAGATAAATACATTCAGAAGAGAAATCAGACGATTGCTGCAACAAAGTATTAAGCAATAATAATAATAGTAATGCAAAGAAAGTAACATTCACATTGTCAAATAAGAGTATGACTAGTATAGAATGCTTTGACTCTGAGGTTCAGTATGGAGTCATCAGTTAACTTCTTATTTTTTTCCCCAAAGTCTCAAAAAATAGACAACCAATAGTTATAAATAAAAATAAAAGATAATTGCAAAAAAACAGATCATGCCAAATCTTACAGACAATAGAAAAAGAAGATATACTTCTATAATCTTTTCATAATCAAATATTTTGGTAACTATGCCACTCACCCTACCTTATACTACTATCTTGTTCCTTAAGGGTTTAAGACTATTTTCTGATATTTTTGACCTCCAAAGTTTATAATGTTCTCTTTGCTTCGGTTTATGTATACAGCATTCATTGGAATGTAGACTCATCCCTTGAGTCTACATTCAGGACATCCTACTTCCCAGTGAAGGATTCTGCACTGGGAAAAAAGGGTTCTGGGTCTGAGCATGTTTTTGCTTATAAAAATTTGTGCTTTAAAAATATATTTAATGAATTAATGTGTGCTATCATTGCTTACTGAACTTCATGAGCTATTGAGGTACAAATTAAACTCCAGGAAAAGTAAAATGTTTTATGGAGGAGTTATCTTTTACCAATCATTTCACATATATAATTTTATAAACTTTGATTTTTAAGTTATTTGATGAAGACAGCTTCTAGTTAGAGCGACTCCTATGGCTCAAGGAGTAGGGCACCACCCCTATATACCAGACGGAACCTGGCCCCAGCCAAAAACTGCCAAAAAAAAAAAAAAAAAAAGAAAGATTATAGTTTGCTCATTTATTAGGTGTTAGGTTTATTTCTAAATTTTTTAATGTAAATAACTTTGCATAGCTGAGTCTTTCTGTATTTGGTTTTTTTTTTTTAATTTCATTGGCTTCTTTATATCTGATACAAATGTAACAGTTAAATATTACTATACTTTTAAGACCATGTAAGAACCTGGGAAGACAAGACAGCTTCAAGTAATTTATTGTTTTCTTACAGGTTATAGTTATGAGTGCCACTCTAGATGCAGGAAAATTCCAGATTTACTTTGATAACTGTCCTCTCTTAACTATTCCTGGGCGTACACATCCTGTTGAGATCTTTTACACGCCAGAACCAGAGAGAGATTATCTTGAAGCAGCGATTCGAACAGTGATCCAAATTCATATGTGTGAAGAGGAAGAGGGAGATCTTCTACTTTTCTTAACTGGTCAAGAGGTATTGTCATTATTTGCTTCCTTATTTGGCCTTTGACATATTATTTCTATTATTTAGAAACTTGAAACTTAAGAAATTTGGTATATATGACTTTCATTTATTTGGTGTAGGAATATCTTTTTATAACACCAGTGTTTGTGCTTTAGATAATTATCCTGACAGTGCTGAATGCTTTCAGAATTTCAAAATTTAGCAATTGTAATCTCAACCTCGTAGAGATCGTGGTTATAAGTGGTATTTTGCTGAGGTGCAAATTAGCATCATAGCTGGTTTTGAAATTAGATTATCTTCATTGGTTAAATAGCTTATGAGTGAACTGGGATGCTCATTCATCATCAGAATAATTCTTGTGGTTTATTTTATTTTGTTTTTTTAATTAAATCATAGCTGTGTACATTAGTATAATCATGGGGTATATGTGCTGGTTTTATATACAGTTTGAAATGCTTTCATCAAACTGGTCAACATAGCCTTCACAGCATTTTTTTAGTTATTGTGTTAAGACATTTATATTCTACACCTAGTAAATTTCACAAGTACCCTTGTAAGATGCACCGTAGGTGTGGTCCTGCCAACTACTCTCCCTCCACCCATCCTCTCCATCCCCTCCCCTATTCTGTGCTTTGTTTCTTATATTCCATGTGCTCACTGGGGATTGGAAGGAATCAAAAAATTTCTTGGTTAGAACTTAATTTTTAGATACAAATTTTATTCTCAAGTGCACTATACTCATTTCCACCAGGCTGTTTATATACGGGATGGTGTGAAATTCTTGAGTGGCACAATAAATTTAGGAAAAGGTGTTTGGATAAAACAAAATTCTAGAAAGCATTTTAAAGTTTTATTAGTTCTTTAATAAGCTTTGCAAATTTTGTAAAATATGCTTCTAAAACTTTCACACATGCAGATCATTTAGAAAACTTGTGGATTTTGATTCATTAGGTCACGAGAGAGCCTGAGATTCTGCATTTCTAATAAATGTCTAGGATAATGCTGGTGCTCTTAAGGAGTTGAGTGGCGACATTGTAGAACAGTGCTGTCCAGCAGAATTTTCTGTAATGCTGGAAATGTTCTGTATCTTCTGTTCTCTAAAGTGGCCACTGATAACATAGGGCTTTTGAGCATTGAAATGTGGCTAAAAAGAAGGGCTAAATTTTTATTTCATGGAAGATAGAATAATTTAAACTTAAATAGATGTACTGATCCACCCCATTCTTGTTTTTTTATGGCCCTCTTAATTATTGCTTTTACCTACCCCCACCCCCCACCCCCCGTTTTTGGCCTTGGCTGGGTTTGAACCTGCCATCTCTGGCATATGGGGCTGGTGCCTTCCTCCATTGAGCCACAGGCACCACTGCTTTTACATTTTAAGAAGGTTGTAAATTTAAAAGAGAATATGCAACAAATAGTATATGAATGCAAAGCTTAAAATGTTGTAATGTCTTTTAGAGTGAAAGATAGACTTCTGCCCTGGAATTTTTTGTCCCCTAAGTGTGGTCGGTAGATTGCCTGCTTGAGAGAAGAAAATTTGTTGAAACAAGGCACCTTCTTGCCTCCATTCCCAACTTGAGGTTTGGGAGTGAAATATAGGAATCCACATCTTTAACAAGCTTCTTGGTCAGTTTTTATATTTTCATTTTAAGGGTCCCTGCTCCAGAGGAGTATTTTAGCCAATATGATGCCCCTGATACATGGGAGACACACCCTGAATAGTCTTGGAAATTGCCCTAGTCTCTGTCACGTATGAAAGGTCCGCTGTGTGACTGCCTCCCCATACTGGAATGTGAACTCTCTGTGTTAGATTCTGCCAGGGTGCTTTATGTGTAATATTTGAGCGAATGTTTGGTTTAAAAGCTACGCCAATCTTTTTTTTTTTTTCCTTGAATTTCTTCAGGGTTGTCTTTATGGTTTGTGCCCCACTGGCCATGGTTTTTTCCCTGCAGAGCAGGGTTTCTCAACCTCAGCACTATTTACCCTGTGAACTGGTTAATTCTGTGTTGTGACGTGCACTGTGCATTGGATGGTGTGGATCATCCACCTTAAATTCTAACCATTAGAAGCACTAATACTTTTGGTTGTGCCAACCAAAAATGTTAGCAGACATTGCCAAATAGCTCCCCTTGTAGGTGGGTGCAGAGTTATTCCCAGTAGAGGATCATACATGTTCTTTTGGGGAAATGAGATAGGTTGCAAGTTTTTCTTGTTATTATTAAAATGGTGCATTTTATGTTGTATTTTATCACAATTAAAAAAGAAATTACAAGTTTATTTTTTCAGATAAATGAAGTTACCCTCTCTTGGTACTCATCTTCCCTTTTATTCATTTTGAGTGAAAGAATTTTTACATATTAATATTTTGTAAGCAAGAGAACCTTATTTGATGGCGTTCATACTGTGATACAGTATTGAAGCTTTGAGATTACTCATTTTGTTCTTGTGCCATGTCTTATTGCTTCCGAAGTATATACTATATTTTCATTTTGTTAAAGGACTGTTTTAAATTATCATACTAAGATAACCCACACATATTGGGACTCCGTTGGAAATACCAGATGGCCTGTCTCATGGTGAGGACCTGAAAAGTTTTCCTCTGAGACAACTTTCATGCAATTCATATTTGGGCAACTAAAGGACAACTTGAGATTTTATGTTATGCATGAAATAAAGTGCTACTGTAGATATGAACTGTAGTAATAGTGCTTCTCTGGTCATTAGAGTTAATTTGGGGGAGAGAGACCAGTTTAAAATGGTGAAAGATTGAGAAAGGTTTGAATTCTAGAATGTTTGAACTTTACATATTTTAATGCATAAAATCTGGACCTAATATTTAAAATAAGGTGTTTGCTTAGGGAAGCTATACTATTGAATTAGGTAAGAGTGGTTGTTTATTGAAGTATCAATTGTTTTAAAAACAGATAATTCTGAAACCCTTCATTTCTTAGGCAATATATTATTTTATCTTTAATTTTGATTAGTAAAATATTTTTTTCAACGTGCATTCAGTTCTCAGGTAAAGTCCAAATTAATGTACTGACATGTTGATGCATTCGAGGCTAACACCTTTCTTCAAATCAGAAATTCCTAAACTGTCTGCTGGGCATTGCTGATGACTAAGCAGATGGCTGCTGCTTGGAAAGTGAAACTTCATTTCTTTCTCTGCCTGTTTGTTTTATACTCTGATAAATATAAATGAGTTTTGTGGTGTTTGGAACTTTTGCCGTTGACTCTGGAAGTTTGGTAAACTTAAAGGGGCAATTTTTGTTGCAGGGTTTTGAAACTGTTTAGAACCTTGTTTATGTAAAGACTTTGTGGCATGGGATTTTTTTCCTTGGTACTTTACACACGTCTTTGTATCTCATGCAGTCCATTGATTTTAGCTCCATGCTTGCTTAGCAGATTGGGTAGTCTAGTCCATTCATTATAATTGGCGTAGTCATCTTAAAATACTGAAATAATAAAGCATACATATGATTTGGACACTCAATTTTTTAGTATGTGAAATCTGGGTATTTGGTGACTTTTCACCATTTTCCTGTCATAGATACCGTAAAGTTAACAAAGTCACAGATAGTATCAGTGTTTGAAGTTTAGCTTCACATGTTTGAATATGTTGAAATCTTTTTTTTTTTTTTTAATTTGGAGAACTCTTAATTTTGTATTGAAATGCCAGCAGGGGGCATTCTAATCTAGATACAGCAGTTGCAAGTTAATTTTTTTCTAAAAATGTATCCTTTGTTATATTTTTTCTTTTGATGAATGGCATTCTACTTTTACTTTTTTTTTTTTTTTTCAAAAACTTGATCTCAGGAGGGAAACTATTAACATCAGATCTTTGTTAGAAATTATTTGTGTCACAATTTCTGGGGCAGATAACTTTATGTTATTTAAGAAAACATACGTTTGAAATAGGTGGGAGTAAATTCTTATTTACTTTGTGTTTAACAAAATAGAGTTGTAATAGATTTCAAATCATTTAAATGAAAATAAGTTTATACAGTAAAGGCATACAGTAAATTTACCTAAAATTCCCTGTTCCTAATTTGTATCAATCTGACTTTTGAGTAAAAAAAGTAATTTGTTAATGAGGATACTTCATTGGATAGATTGTCTAATATACAACAAGCTGTTTGACAGAACATGTTTACCCAACATGCTCTCTACCTCATTTTTACATCTTTCCCAGAATGTCCCCCCCACCCCACCCCCACCCCCATATAGCCTGTCTTCTCCCTTTAAATGTTGATTTGAGTGCAAGTTCATTGGAACACAGTCATGTGCTGGATAGTGGCAATTTGGTCTTTGACAGACTGCATATATGGTGGCAGCATGTCCCATATTATAACTGAGTGAAGTGTAGTCTGGTAACAGCAGTGCATCATCACATTACTCAGCTGGTGTGAGCAACTACTTTGCTACTGGTTGTGAGAAGTATTAGATAACACATTACTATTTGCTTGATAATAAATAATGATATTACTTTGATGTATTTACCACACTCTTATTTATTAAAAAGAAAAGATAATGGTAAAACAGTTCCAGGCAGGTATTCCAGAAGAAGGCCATGAGACCCCCTAGTGTAGCAGTTCTCAACCTGTGGGTCACGACCCCTTTTTACAATGAAAATACATTGCAGCATTAGGAAGGTTGAGAGCCACTGCTCTAGTGGGATAAGATACGGAGGTAGAAGACAGTGGTATTGATGATCCTGACCCTGCATAGGCCTAAGCTAGTGTGTGTGGCTGGCTGGCTGGCTTTGTTTTTAACAAGAAAGAGTGAGAAGTAAAAAATGATTATGTTTAAAAATAGGAAGATGCATATGGAATAAGTATATGAAAATATTTTTATACAGCTTTATGTGTTTATGTTTTAAGCTAAGGGTACTACAGGAGTTAAACAGTTAAAATGTTTTAATTTTAAGAAGTAAAATAATTATAGTAAGCTGAGGATAATTACTGATAAAAGAAAAATGCTTTTTTTAAAATTTGGTGCAGTGGTGTTCAGAATATCCTGGGTATGCACATTACTCACTACTAACTGACTCGCCCAGAGCATTTTCTAGTCCTGCAAGCTCAGTGCATGGCAAGTGCCTCACATAGGTGTACACATTTTTACCTTTGTTCTATGTTTTTAGTGTTATGTTTTCGATGTTTAGATGCACAAATGCCTGTTACAGTTGCCTATGGTATTCAGTACAGAAATATGCTACGTAGGTTTGTAACCCCATTGTTAGGCAGCATATGAGTATTTTTCTATGGTAGGAAAATTTTTGAGGCTGCTCTTAAGATATGTGGGTTAGCCTAGTTTTTAAACATCTATGTTGATACTGTAAAGGTGTTTGTTCTCATTAGGCACAATGAAGCAAATCTTCCATGTAATTGCATTAGTGATACGTGACATTAACGCCTAATTGCCTTATTTAAAATGTCTGGCACATCAATTTCTTTTAGATTGTGAAAATTGAAAAGGTCATGAGTGCAGTTAAATATTCCTGGGTGAGAAATTGCAATTTTAGTATAATTTGTTGAGAATTAATTAGGAAATCTGACTATAAGGAAAGGGAGAAGGGGGTGTGAAATGCAAATAAGGCAGTTGTATGTTCATTTGAATACAAGAATCAACTTTCTTGGATTGTGGAAATCCCATTGAAATTTGCTAAATTAGGTTTGGTTACTAAATTGAAAATAGGGTATCAATAAAATGAAAGCAGATGTGTTCAAAAAAATATGCTGCATAGACTAGGAATATAATAAAAACAAAAGTGTTATTTTCATTTTCTTTTTAAACTCATACTTTTATTTTGTAGGAAATTGATGAAGCCTGTAAGAGAATAAAGCGTGAAGTTGATGACTTGGGCCCTGAAGTTGGTGACATTAAAATCATTCCCTTGTACTCTACACTTCCACCTCAGCAACAGCAGCGCATTTTTGAGCCTCCACCTCCAAAAAAACAGAATGGAGCAATTGGAAGAAAGGTAACATTAGAAAGGGTCTTCACAGACATTTCATTAACACTAAAAGAATCGGTTATGAAATATCAAATAATGTTCAGTCGTAAAGGACTATAGTGTAGGTGATTGTGATCTGGGTTATATGCAACAAATCTAAATTTCAAACGTAACAAGATGTGTTGAAGTGTAGGATTCTGCATATCTTTTGACCCTACAGTAAGAATGTGTACTTAACAGCTTTTGCCTCACCTAGGCAGTTCTTAGCAAATGGAATGTCAGGGTGGGTTTAGAAAAGGGGACATTGGCCAATTGCTGTTTTTCTCCCATTAAATCATTCGGCAAAAAGCAAGCATTTCTTTGGTGCCTTGGCCTCCTGCCTAGACTTTTCTTTAAGACTTATCCAAATGTCATGTCTATAATGTGAAATGTTGACTCTGCAAAACTTTAATAACAGTAGCACTAATCACTGCATAAATGTATGGGTTCCTTGAAGGCAGCAACTTTGGATCCTTTGGGTAGGGATGTGTCCCTGGCACAGGGAAGGGAACAAGGTTATTCCAGCCCTGTATCTCTGAGGCCCTCGTTGGAGGAACAGGAAGCAAAATGAGTACCTGTTTGAAATAGAGAGGCTAAGCTTTTATATTGTAAGATTTGGGCATTCTAATAGATTCTTTGAAAATAAGGTTGTACTGTTTTATTTAAAGGCTTGGAAACCTCTAGAACAAGGGAGTTAATTTGACTTTTAAGCCTAGACATTTGTTAGGTTATGTAATAGCAACATATGAATTTTGGTAATATTCATAATCTCTGATTGTAACTTTAAATGGGTATGATTTATTGTTCTCATCACGTGGTTGGTAGATGATAGTTGAGAATTAAGCTTGATGGGTATAAGGTAGCTAACATGCTAGGCTTTCATGGGAGCTACTGTAAATATTTTTAGTTGACTGGGATAGAGAACAGGTCTTGTCTGAAATTTTATTCATAATTTACTTAGTCAAAATTGGACTCTTATTGCTTTCTTTTATCTCTGTTGAGGACTTTCACAGTTTCCTTTTGCTATTGTTTTCCAATCCTTTTGCTAATTTTTTTGATGATACTGAAAAGGTACAAATTATAAGCAAACATTTAACTATATATATCATGGTCATTTTTTTTTACATGGTTGTATAAACTTAAATGAACCAGGTAGGTTTTTCAAATTGAGAGAATATACTGAATGGATATGCGTACCAGATTACTAGAAGATATATTAATAGGAGACAGAAAACGAATCAAGTTCTTGTTTTTTCATAGATTATTAAATACGGTAAACTTGACTTTAATATGTAGTGTATTCATAGCTTTCTTACACTGAACTTTCAATTTTTTGTCATACTGCAATCTCTAGATCATGCTAAAGTATTTTTTACATGTTTCTACATGTGTTTTCTGAAATTTGGGGAGAAACTTGATGTTTAAGTGCTACTTTCAGTATATAATCTTGAGGTCAACTTGCAAAGTACCTTTTCTCTGTGTACTTTGAAGTTTGATGCCATACCAGAAGATAAATCATATTTTCTGTGTATAACACACATGTACATGTTTTTGCCCAACTTTCAGGAAAAAACTCTCTTGTTTGAATTTTTTAATTAAAGGTTTTTTGGGGGGTTTTTTTGCAGTTTTTTCGATAGGGCTGGGTTTGAACCCACCACCTCTGGCATATGGGGCCAGTGCCCTACTCCTTTGAGCCACAGGTGCTGCCCTTAATCCAAGGTTTTGTTTGTTTATATTTAGGTACTTATTTTCTGTATTTTAAAGGAATTTTAATTTTTTTTAACGTGTTCAAAAAGAAATTTTATGTAAGAAGTAATTAACAAACACAAGAACAGATACAGGGTACAAGGAATTTTATGTACTGGGAACGAATTGATACTTAGGCATCATGGAAGGCCACGAGCTCTTTGTCACTGTTTTATTTTACGTACAGCTATTGTTACGGCTTTCTAGAGTTACACTTTTAGCATAAATAAAAGAATTAAAAACATTTGCATAGATACAGAATTAGTACTGGTGTGTATAGTCTACGTCCTTATTTTTCCCTGAGAAATTTGGGCAAAAAGTGTGAATTATACATGGTAACGTGGTATAATCTATATATTTCTTAAATATTTCTATGATAAAGAGGATGCTTTCTCTTTGAAGAACTGAATTTTTAATGTCTTGAAATCATGTGGACTTGCATACACATTTGCATTTGTTTTGTTTTTAGAATGTTGTGCTTGTGTGCCATGTATACCGTGTTTGTCCACCTTTTTGTGTACTTTTCCTCATTGCATTGAGTGACATTGCAAGGTATGCACCCACGCTTACTATGTAGTGCAGTTGCATCTGAGCTCTTTGCACCCACGCTTACTATGTAGTGCGGTTGCATCTGAGCTCTTTGCTCTCTAGTGTATTAGATATGTAGGTTCAGCCTGGTGCTAACACTTGATTCTGTAACTTAAGCCTATGGAGTGGAATTAGGTTTTCAGTTGTCATGGTGGTGGTTTGCGTTTTTATGTTGCAAATCCTAAGGATGCTGAGGAGACTTTTGTCTTACTGAGTGATTCAGCAGCTGCTGGATATACAGTGATGGCCACAGCTAAGGTGGTCTCACTCTGGGGAATGGTCCTGGGCTTTTTTTTTTTTTGAGACGGAGCCTCAAGCTATCCCCCTGGGTAGAGTGCCGTGGCATCACGCTTACAGCAACCTCAAACTCCTGGGCTCAAGCGAGTCTCTTGCCTCAGCCTCCCAAGTAGCTGGGACTACAGGCGCCTGGCCATTTTTTCGTTGCAGCCATCATTGTTTGGCGGGCCCGGGCTGGGGATTCGAACCCGCCACCTTAGGTGTATGTGGCTGGCGCCTTAGGTGCTTGAGCCACAGGCACCGAGCCAGATCCTGGGCTTTTAATGCAAAATTAAGGGCCCTGATTATGTTTTGCCATGTTGATGGGTGTTTCATGTTTCATTCAGTTAAAGTCACTAGAGTTCTTGTTGGGAAGTTGTGTTATCTTTTGCTTCACCTTAGAGGTTGAGAAGAGTCTCCCTGGATGATCCTGGGGTGGGGTTTGGGTGAGGGAGGACCTCCTTGGCAGTCGGTGAATTATTCTCATAAGGAGTAACACAGACCTAGCATGCTTAAGCACAAACTAAAAAGTGTTATTTGAGGCTAGCTGATTAAGGAAGACCTACATATCAAGTCATGTATATTTGTTGTTGGACAGGGCAGCTGCCTGGACTGAGATTGGGGTGTCAACTGACACCCTGAGATCTGAAACATGTTCTGACCAATCACTGGCAGGCAGGCAGGCAGGCAGGCTCAGAGCAAGAAGAAAAGACCGATGGAATTGTGGAGAAAGAGATGGGGCGAGAATTAAGGAGATGTGAAGGAGTAGGTGGGGCATAGAGCAGGAAATTCTGCTATTCACTTGCTGTATTCAATTTTAGTTTCTTAATGCTTCATCTTTTTTGTTTTTATTTTTTACTCATAATGGTCAACATGTAAGTGCTTCTACTTGTATGAGATGCTGTTTATCTTTAGAAAATAAGGACCCTAAGGGCAAAGGCTTAATTCTGCTGCCATTAATTAAACAATTACGGTAACAGGTACTAGGATGGAGCTTTCATTCAAAAGCTGTCATACACAATAATGATAGAATTAATTAAAATTACCTAAGAACAGAGGTTAACTTTCTGCTTCTGAATATGGAAAAAATATTTTTGTTTGCTTTGTTCTAGCATAAGGATAATATAGTTAGATATAGAGTGGATATATAAAAAGTATTTGAAATTATTGAGCAAGTAGAATATTTATTTTAATACAGTATTTTAAATTCCATCAAATTGTAATTCCGTATATATTTGAGTACCTTTTTGAGGCATTGTTTTATTTGTCATCTTACTCATTCTGGTGGATTATGCAGAATAGATTTTACAACTTGAATACAAGTTTTTAGTATTAAAGTTGTAAAATGTAGACTATATTTAAAGTTGAGTTTTATGTGCATTTGCATACTTCGGTAGCATTCCTTGCAGAAATAGTTACTATATTCTTTTTTACATGGTCAAATACGTTTCTAATCAAGAAAGGTTTGGAATGTAACACATGTATTTATATGAGGGTAGATATTTTAATCGGTTCTGATGATTTCTGAATTTTTTCAAGCATTTGATTAAACTAAAAGCTGTAGTTCTGCACATGCAGTCAGGTGTACTCCTCAGTAAATCTCTTCAGTGTACCTTTTGACTAAGACTTACAAATGCTGTTTTGGGGATTTGGTGTTACTAAAATCCAATGATGATTATTGGATTTGAAATAATTAGTTTTTGTTAATTTTGTCCATACAAATGACTGGTTTTTCTGTAGCTTACCCATACAGTTTGCTAATTAATATGGTTCAGAGCATACAGTGCTCAATAAAAAAGAGAAACGGCCCTTGTGGAGATGGTTCTGTAGTTTTAAAGAGAGGCTTAATGATCCACTATCTGAAGATAGCTTAGTGTGGTGCTGTTGGAATGTTTACAAGCAAATAAGTTAATGTCCTTGAATTGCAGACCCCCACGGAGTTCCCTGGGGAGAAAAATCCAAACTAGCTTAACCTAAATGCATTACTGTGTCCAAACAGCATTCAAGTAGGGCAACTGAAGTACTCTTGAATTCTACTACTTTGAAGTGAAGTTACTGGAATAAATCATAGTGGGTCCCTTTGGAAAGCATGTTTTTTGTTTGTTTGTTTGTTTGTTTGTTTTTTGAGGCAGAGCCTCAAGCCATCCCCCTGGGTAGAGGGCTGTAGCATCACCGCTCACAGCAATCTCCAACTCGTGGGCTCAAGCGAGTCTACTGCTTCAGCCTCCCAAGTAGCTGGGACCACAGGCGCCCGCCACAAAGCCCGGCTGCTTTGTTTTGGTTGCAGCCGTCATTGTTTTGGCAGGCCGGGCTGGATTCAAACCTGCCATCTTAGGTGTATGTGGCTGGTGCCTTAGCCACTTGAGCCACAGGTGCCGAGCCGAAAAGCATGTTTGTGAGGGAAGAGTTTACTTATAGCACATCTTGGCAGTGATGCCAGACTTTCTACCATAGGGTTTATCGTTGAGAATATTAAATATTCAACAAGCTGAAGTAGTTTAGTTAGTGAGGTTTGAACATTTCTAAAGCTCTTTAAACACGTATTGCAAAGTTACAGTGTAGAAAGCTGTAACTGTTACGTGGAGTCCTATTGATTAGATAGATGTTTAATCTATCAAATTTCAGGATCACTTTGTCTGTTGGCTGCCATGCCAGTTATGTGTGGAATATGTTTTAAAGCTTGGTTCTTTTAGCTCCTGGAATTCCAGGGCGACTTTTATCATCTCATCTCATTTATTTGTTAGGGGTGTCATGGAAGCTCACTGCTACCTCAAACTCCTAGGCTAAGATGATCCTCCCATCTAAGCCTCCCACGTAGCCGAGACTACAGGTGTGAACCATGAAACTTGGCTAATTTTTCTGTTTTTAGGAGACATTGGGGGGGTGGGATCTTGCTCTTGCTCAGGCTGATCTCAAACACCAGAGCTCAAATTACCCTCTCACATCAGCCTCAGAGTATCAGGTTACGGGCATGAGCCACCTCACCTAGCCCTATCTCATTTATTTGTTTACATTATGTATGTATATGTGTTTATTTTGCCTTACTATTTTTCGTCCTTGGGAAAACTCCAAATTCATGCTTCTGAGGAATTTAACATTTAGATTTGGGCTTTAACTTTGATGTGGTAATATAGTCTTTACCACTAATAGCATGGTCTTGCCCTGCTGGCATAATCTCTTGATTTTAAACATGTAGAGTTGCAGGTCTCCTTTATAATTATTATAGAATTTGTTTCACACACACCCCCAACAAAACACATGCGTACACAAATGAAATTATTTTGTGGAAAAAAGTCGACTTTTTTTCTTTTTTGAGAGTCTCAGTTTGTCTGCCTCAGTAGAGTGCTGTTGCATCATAACTCGCAGCAACCTCAAACTCTTGGACTCAGGTGATTCTCTTGCCTCAGCCTCCCAAGTAGCTGGGACTACAGGCACCCGCCACAACACCTGGCTATTTTTAGAGGTGAGGTCTTGCTCTGGCTCAGGCTGGTCTATGAACCTATGAACTGTGGCAGTCCACCCGCCTTGGCCTCTCAGAGTGCTAGGATTATAGGTGTGAGCCACTGTGCCTGGCCTGAAAAAAGTGACTTTTATAGATAACTCTTCAAAGAGTGGTCCTCATCAAGAAATTTTTATCATACAGGCTGTATTTTGTTCTAAAAGAAATATGAAAAATTATTTTTTCCAAAATAAGTTTAAAAACTTAAAAAACAAAAACAAGATAATTTTCTCAACTGTCCTACTTATTTTCAGAACCATGATTTTCATCCCAGAATTCTAGAAAACCAGAAGACCTTTTATATAATTATTAGCATGTAATCGGTTCTCTATAGTTTATAAGGCATTTCTGCATCCATTTTATTCCCTATAGCTATGTCAGCTAAACTAGGTAATAGTAAGAATTGTAAAAGGAAATTGAAGCTTGGAGGTAAGAACTTTGCCATAATTACTTAGCTACTCAGATTTGATTCCTGGTTCTGCCATTTACCTCTGGATTCATTGATCCTTCCATTACCAAAAAACTGACTTTCTTAGAAGAGTATTAATCTCAGGTTTTATTTAAGTCTATCCATCAACCTTGTATGGCCTGTTTTTGTTTGTATTTATTGATTGTGCATGTTATCTAAACGGTCCTGAGGAATTTCAGTAAAATCAAACCCTCCATGTTTTGTTATCCCTTTGTCAGTTCTGCCTTTTCATCTGACTAATTGAAAAAAGGAACATTTTGAGTTTTGATCTGTAAATGATTCTAAATACCCTGTTAGTAGATTTTTTAGGAAGTTTTTAAACTTCTAAGGCTTTCTGCCCATATTTTGGGACTGCTCTTCAGTAGCTGTGAAATAGAGAAATGAAAATGTTAATATTATTTTAAGTAAAACAGTTAATGGAACAAAAAGCCTATGAATTATTTAAGCCATTTGATTTACCAATACAAAGTGTTTTTCAAAAAAATAATACGAATAAATATAAGTCCTTTCCTTTTTTACAAGTGCCCATAGACATTCTTGCCCACATACACTGTTTAAATTGAACATTCTAGTGCTAACGCCTTTTCCTTTCTCTTGGTACTAGATCTTAGTTTACCCTCAAGGACTTTTCTAAATGTTGTTTTCTTTGCTTGTCTTCACTGTGGAAGTAAACCCTTTAGAAATCTTACAGTGAGTCTCTGGTATCATTTACCCTTTCTATTCATGCCTAATCTTCCCTTACAAACTGTAAAAGCTATAAATGCAGACAGTTTATTTGATTGATGTTCTGTGTCAATTGCTTGCATACATAGGTATTTCCATCTGAACGTTAGTAATCTGTTTGTGAAAATCAGATGTTGTTCTGGGTAATAATGCAAATGAGGAATTCCCATGTTGTTTTAAAAGGAAAAAATAACATGTAACATGTCATCCCCATGTTTTTAACCAATTCTGTAAAACATTTAGCATATAGTTAAACACAAAAACAAGCTATCATACATACTAGTATTTAAAGGCTTTAAACTTTGTTCCAGTGTGTGGTTATTTGTTATCCCTATAATATATTTGTACATTTACAAATATATTACATCTGATTCTGATGATTTATCAGTTCTTGATTGTATAACACCTTGAGTTTTTCTTGTGGCATTTCCAAAAAAAATGGTGAGTCAAATTTCAGTGATACAAATACTTACGGAGTTTTCTTTCATAAATATTGCTCAAAAACATTGAAAAATATACATGTGTGGAAATTTGCATATTATATGGGATGTTTTATCAGTGAAACGTTCTGTAAGGTGTATTTTATTTATCAGTATATTTGTCTTAATACTAAACTTTTATTGAATAATCGCATAATGTAATGTGATCATGTGAATAATAACTGGTATTATAGCTGTGTTGGAAAAGGAAATTGTGTTCTTAGTTTGAGTTTGTCTCTTCAGCATTGGCCATGGAAGACAAAATTTTATTTCTAGTTTATTTACTGGCTTGAAATTCCTTGGGTAGTGAAAGTTGAATTAATCTTACTGTGATGGTACGTTGTCCTTAATGCATAATATAATTCATATACTCTATTTCTTCACAGGTAGTTGTGTCAACTAACATTGCAGAGACATCTTTGACAATAGATGGTGTGGTGTTTGTGATTGATCCTGGATTTGCAAAACAAAAGGTACCTATTAGTGTTTTAGTTGGACATTTTATAAGTTAGTGTTAGCTTAATGGTACTAAGACCCCTTTATTTAATTTCTAAAATATACTTTTTAGAATTATTTTTCTGTGTTCTCTTTTTATTTTCAGATTTTTGCTATATGAGCCCTTTATGTTCTAGCTGGCTTCCAGAAATTAAGGCAGTATTTTATGTTTAATCCTAGGCTTTGGGGGGAAGGGCACGCGCTGCGGGGGGTGATTCTCGGTTAGGATTGCTCAGGTTTCTTTGTTTGAATTTAGTGATGGCGGTGTGTTGACTTGTATGTTCAAGGAAAGAGTGCGGGGGAAGTGATACAAGTACAGGCAGTGTAATAAGAGTACAGGCAGTCCTTGGGTTACAAATGAGACAGGTTCTATAGGTTTTCTCTCAACTTAAATTTGTACATATGTAGGAACACGAACATTTACAAATTTTCTAAGTACCAGTTGGATGTTTGTAATTTGGGGACTGCCTGTACAGGACTGCCATCCCTACAGACCAGTCACTGATCTAACAGAGTTCCAACTGTGTACTGGGCACACTGCTTACAAAAATGGTCCTGTATTACTCCTTCGATTTTATGAGTGCTGGACACCAAATATTTTGACAAGTGAAATGGCTATTCAGTAAATACTTTATTTTTTAAACATCTTTTGGATGAGTTGATTATATCTTCTAAGTACATCATGTTATCGATGGAAAATTTTCCTGTTAAATGGTGAGTAGCACAGTTGACTTCTTTTGGACTAAGTTCAAGGCGTTTCTCTTGATGTTCCTTCTGAGCATCAGATCTAGAAATTATAGCTTTCTTTTCAGGCAGAATCCTTCACTATCCTGCCTGTAAAAGCAAGGCACAAGGTAAACAAGTAGAGGTGAAATTATTTTAAAGTAGGAGGTATGAAGATTACGTAACTTACCTGTGTGTTGGATAAGAACTTTGTCCTGTTAGCTTGAGAATAGTGGAGTAAGAATGTCTGAGAGAAAGTTAAGGCAAGGGATGATGAATTGGGGCAGCATGACTTACGGTGGTCCTCAGTAAAACTGTTTATTTTAGTGTTTACTGTGGGCTGCCTCTGGATCAATTTTGTGTTTAAGGAACAATCTTATGTTATTTTCATCCCAATAGGTTTATAATCCTCGCATCAGGGTTGAGTCCCTTTTGGTAACAGCTATTAGTAAAGCTTCAGCTCAACAAAGGGCTGGTCGAGCTGGACGTACCAGACCTGGGAAATGCTTCAGACTGTACACAGAGAAAGCTTACAAAACAGAAATGCAGGTAAAGGGTATTGCTCTAACTTTTCTTGTGTGTTTTTGAAGGTTAAGTTGAATTGTTAGTGGAAGAAAATTGCTTCATTTACTTTATCCTACCTAACTAAGGACCAAAGCTCCCTAGTTTCTCCCTGTGTGAGATTTATGGTATAGTTCACCAGTATAGTTATGTCCCCCTCGCCCTACCCTCAGGGGGATATGTTTCCAGACTACCAGCACGAAGCCTCAGATAGTACAGAATCTTACGTGTACTGATACTTTATCATAGATCATAGCAGCCCCAGTATGTGCTCCCCCAGCCTCCCCGTTCAGTGGAGAACTTTCACCTTTTCACTTGAAGTATGTTATGAAGGAAATACTTTACAGCTTCTCCTTGGCGCGTCTGAATTGCCAGCATCATCACTTTGCACTTCAGGAGCATAAGTAAATAAATAGCTAAGGAGGTGGGGAACAGATATGTTTTATTTCCTGTGTTACGGTGATTGAGGAATGTTTAACAAAGCAAATGTTTTTGTTTTCTGCTAGGATAATACCTACCCTGAGATTTTACGTTCTAATTTAGGATCAGTTGTGTTACAGTTGAAGAAACTTGGTATTGACGATTTGGTGCATTTTGATTTTATGGATCCCCCAGGTATGACTTCCTAAAGTACATTTTGTTAGATCTTTTAACGAAAATGTGCTCTTACTATTTCTCTGCATCCTGTTCAGTATATGTATTAAATACATTTTGCTCTTTTTCTTCTAGTAGGCATCAAGATAAGTGATCTAGCATTAAAATTAAAAAGGGTGACGATTACATGAGCAAATCAGGTTTTTTCCCTTTAGAATTTATTCTAGGTATTCAGCTTAATTGAATTATTTTCTAAGCATGAAAATATGAGGCAAACTTTCTGATTTTTCTTTGGGAAAAATAGTTGAATAAGCACATTGATGAATTAGCAATTCCTTAATATATAGGGTGGATATAAAGTTCATGTGCACTAATGTACTATTAAAAATTGTACATGATATTTAAAATAGCCACCCTGTATTTAGAAACAGACAGTTTTACCTTACCTGCAAGAAAATTTTGCAATTTTGTATGATTCATTGTTTGCTAGAGCTGTATAATTGAATTTGATGACAATTTGGGTTTGGTCCACTACAGAATGAAAAATGAGATTGCTTGTAATAGTTTGTACTTTGTCACATTTTTGCTTGCTTAAGGCAACTTGTCTAATAGATTGCCTTTTCCCTCCAGCTCCTGAAACTCTGATGCGAGCCCTGGAACTTTTGAATTATCTTGCTGCTTTAAATGATGATGGAGATCTTACTGAATTGGGATCCATGATGGCAGAGTTTCCTCTAGATCCACAGCTCGCTAAAATGGTTATTGCAAGTTGTGACTACAACTGTTCTAATGAGGTCCTATCTATTACTGCTATGTTGTCAGGTAATAGAGGGAAAGGAACTAACAAAAGCCCAGCTCTTCAAAGTTTGGGTGGACTTCACTTTTGTTTTTGTTTTTTAATATTTAGTATGGTAGTGGATTATATAGACCGTCTTAAGGAATTCATTTTGTTTCCTAAATACCTTGTAAATAGCTTCATAACGACACAGTATTTGGAAATTAAAGTAAGTCATTGTGCACGAAACATAGTAAAACATTGGCTCTCTTGAGTGCAAATAAAAAGTGCATTGAACACAAGTGTTTGTGTTTGAACACAAGTGTTACTGAATTCTTTGGTAGGTCCATCAGTGCTATCTCTGCGGTTTATTACTGAAAGTACAAAGAGAACTTTGTTCTAGTACTTGGCACTTACTGAGCCTGTGATAAACTTAAAGTTTTCATTTAAGTCGAGCCATTTCTACATGTATATATGTATTCCAGTGGCAATCAGACAAACATAAATTTTAAACTTAGCATCGGATAAATAGAAGTAGAAATGTGTAATTTCAGGCTTAAAATCTAATCTGGTAATGATATTCTTTTTACAATAGCAGAAAAACACTTGGTAAAAGAAGCATACGTAATAGATAAAAATCCCTGATTTTGTAAAATTGGAACATTAAGCTAAAGAAATAGTACTATTTTTAGTAGCAATAAAATTTAATCCACAAATGAATAGTAACTTGGAAATAGATTTCCCCATAGGAGAAGAAATACTGTTAACAAACGAGTGTTTCTTACAAGCGAAAACAGAAAACAAGTTTTTACTGACAATCTAAATATTCTGTGCTACAAATTTTAGGACTGGGAAGAACTAACTTTAATGCAGAGTGGTTTATTGGTCTTAATTACTTTTAATGCTATGAATAATTCAAAATCTATGGAATTAAAGGATAAATTGAAAAATATTTAAATATAAAATTATGGCTTAGTTTAGTTGTTTGGTATATTCTAAGGGGGTGAATTTTTTATTTAAGAACTAGCTAAAATGTTTTCTTGCAGAGTTATGACTGATCAGACTCAGAGCAGATGGGCAGGGCAGTATTGAATCATTTAAATTAAATCGTAGTCTCATTTGCGGAGGTGGTGGTAGGTTGTTGTCTGCCTTTCTTTTATGTTGTTTATTATTAGATTCTCCCAGTTGTCTTCTCCCAAGATTTTAGTTTTTAGAGAAAATGGGCAGGAGTTAACAGATTATAGTGTATTTACTTGTCTGTTACCTGCCCTGTTTTTATTTCTCTAGGTTGCCTTACCAGACATACTCTATGATTATCATTGAGTTTGGAGTATTAGTCCTTTAAAAACATTGTCACTATAATGCAGTTGAAATCTTCCAATGACATCTCAGTCTTATTTATAGTATGAGTTATGCAAAATACAGGGTTTTACTCGTAGTCTTCAGCACATCAAAAAAAAGCATTTATGTGGAGCAGTTTTTAGACAGACCATTTATAGAAAAAGTGTTAAAATAAGGGATAAGAAAGAAGTCATGGAGTAAACACAGTTTGCTGAGCTTGTAATGCTTTGTCTGCCATTTAAATAGTTCTAACGTTTTGAGGTCCTGATATAAACTGCAAACCCAGGGGCCTTGTGCAGTGCTGCCTTGCATTCCCACGTGACTCTGGTGGCTAGTTCACATTATTCACAGCTATGAGAAGTTCTGTACTTGCATACACTACCTTGCTTCAGTCACATTAAGCAAGACTTCTAGTATTTACTGTGATCATGTTTTGTTGTCTCTGTTTGGCTACTTTGGCATCTTTTTAAAGGGGAAACTGTGTGGGAAAGAATAATTTGATACTGTATTTGATCTTGTTGTCAATTATTCCCATTATCTTTTATCTGAACTGATAATTTATGATTTTTTCACTGACAAGGTATTAAGAGTTTTAAACATGTGTTGAAAAAGTCCCAAGCTGTTAAGTACTTTTATTTCATACTGCTTTTATGACTATGGAATTGCTAAAGTGAATTAAGGAAAGTTGTATTGCAAAACATGGAGTGCACTCTTTGTAACAAAGTTTTATACAAATTAATACTGAGGCTCTAAACAAGTAACTGTAGTTGAATATTTTGATGACCCATGAAATAATGATTGTTTCAGACTAATTGTCAACTTTAAAATATTGGCATTTACTTTATATTGAGATTTTGATTCACTTTTTTTTTAACTTGAGACTTTATTAAATCATTTCCTTGAAATCCTGGAACACTGGGCTGAGTATCACAGCCTTTTTGAATTTTCCTAATTCAAAGGCGGTTTAACCTTCCACCACTACTGCTATCATCAAAACCCAATACTTGACATTTTTATGTTTACATATGCTTCTGCTCACCGGTGCTAATAGTGATACCCACCAATTGGTAGTACCCATAGCATTAGGGGAAAGGTTCTAATAGAAATGTGGTGATAGGCTAGTTATAAAAGGTGATTTTAGCTCTGTAGTGGGCTAGTGTAGCTTCCTAACCTTCACGGCCATTCAGGGGATTCACTGGATGGCCTTTTGGAAAATTTCAGTTAGCTAAAAGACTATTGATACCATAATTCCTATTATAGGTCGAGCTATCAGCACTGGGATTTTGATAAGCTGAACTTTCTAGTATCTTGATGGCCTTCAGAATAGCTCTTTTGATGCCTACTTTTAGATCTAGTTAAAATAATCAGGTACTCTGTAGCTTTGCAACCCTCTTGTCTTACAGATGTGGTTAGGTGTTGATGTACCTAATCAAGGTAGTAAACAGTCCAGGATGCAGTTGGAGGCCATCCTGCCCTGCCCTATGCTCTGTGAACTGACCTAGCTAGGCCTTGTTCCTCTATCTGTGAATGCGTGACTCATCGATATGGGCGTTTGTGTTGGGCCCATACCAACCTTGTTTAGTCCCACAGTGTTTTGTTCGCCCCACGGAGGCCAAGAAAGCCGCAGATGAAGCCAAGATGAGATTTGCCCACATAGATGGAGATCATCTGACACTGCTGAATGTCTACCATGCTTTTAAACAAAGTAAGTGTAAATTAGATTGACGGCACTCTTTTGTCTCACTGTCACTTGCAGCGTAGAAAACGTTTCTTCATCTCACTTTCATTTATTATCTCTGACAACTTTACATTAGGAACCCAGAGGTACTTCAGAAAAACTCCTGACTAGCATTTAAAATAGAAATTGCCAGTCTTTTTCAAAGTTGTTTACATCTATAATCGAGGGAAGTACCCATTATAGACAACCTGAAACACGGAAGACCTGTGTAGACTCTACCACTAACATACACATTTTTATATACTTCTCTCTTATGTTCATACACTTCACTTTTTTCTGACTAGATTGTAACATTTTTAGTAATAAAGAGCTTTTTGTATTAAAACTCACAAAACTAACAAAAGAGAAAATGGACAACAAATGTGATAGTTCTCAGGCTAAAAGTGGTCTGGAATCATGAGAGAGAAAAGTTTATCTCTACTGTTAGCCCAAGAATTGAATTATTTGTTAAGGTGCCTTCTTCTCATCTATAAAATTGGCAAGTTTAGAGAAAAATATTCCTTAGTTGTGTGGGAATGGGATTGGTGGAACAATTGTAGACTGGACATCATATGAAGTGATGTCCTTATGCAGAGCAGATTTTACATTACTGATGACCATACCAATTTCATACTCTTTCACTCAGAAATAATCTAGAAGGCTATCTTTTGAAATTCTGTGGACACAGGATTTAAAGTTTTTCATCCCAGAATTATTTGTGATAGTAAAAAAATTGGAAGCTGCCTAAATGCCCAGCAGGAGAAAGATGGTTCAATAAGTTATGCCATAGACACATGATAAAATATTATTCTAGGTTTAAATTAGGTTATCAGTGAATTTTTAGTGACCTACAGAAGTGTGCCAGTTATTTCAGAATGAGGAAGGAAACGTAGTCATTAATGATAGAGTTGTCGCTAACTATTGGTAGAATGTACCATTTGCAAAAATTGAGAGGGAAGCTCAGTTTTTGTAAATGGTACATTCTAATAATAGTGAAAGAATAAATCCAAAAATAAACAATAACAGGGTGAGAAGAGGTTTGATATCTACTTCACAGTATGCTGACCTAAAGGTGGTAGCATAATCAAAGACCGATCGCTCTCTCTTATCACTTGGTGCCCCAAATGAGGGATTCTTAGTCGCTGTAAGTTTGTGGTTTTTTCTTATGAGTAGATTTCTAATTCCAGTGTTGTACTTCTTGTTTAATATGTAACTCAATTTTATTGTCTCATAAAAATTCTATTTAGTCTCCTGAAATAGAGTCTTTTGATTTTGGCAAATCTGTAAGGTGTAGTAGTGAAATTTCGTTTGTCCAAGGGTCCCAATTCTGGAGAGCATGTGGACCAAAATATAGCATTTCTAGGGCCACATATCTCTGTTTTTTACTTATGAACCAGGAGAGAAAGGGAGGACCTCTTCTCTGCCCAAGTCTCAAAAATTTGGGGCAGATAAAGGAAGTAAGGGATATGGGGTTTGAAATCTCCTACATGATTTATTTCAGTACATGTCTGTTCTGGGTAATACCTAAATAATGTTAAATAAAGACTTATCTCTGGTAAGGTAGGCCAACTCAAGACTATGCGTGTCGTCTGCCAACGTCGTGGGAGGTGGTGACCCAGAGATGCAGATACATAACCTATCAACTATGATAACTGCTCTAAGAGGGACTGGCGGCCTTAAGAAGGGACAGATTGACGTGGCTCTCAAAATCTTTGATATTCTTGATAACGTTTAAGTGATAATTAAAAGATTTTTTAAGAGCAGCATGGTTTTTAGAGCTAGCCTATTATTTTCACAGGGCATTTTAACTAATTCTTCTAAAATTACAGATTGTTTTACTTTAAGCTTTTGTTAACTAAGCATAGCAATATATTTGGATTATATCACTGTGTTTCAGAAATGAAATTTAGGATTGATAAGATATTAGTTATTTAGACGAATAACTTAGAGTTGCCATTTTTTTTGTTAATCTTCTTTTAGTTTATGAATTCTAAAAATTGAAGATTTTGAGAAAGTTGCATTTTAAACCAAAGCCTGCATATCAGTAACCTTTTCCGGAAGTGTCCCTTACCTGTCGTCCAGTGTGGCTGTTTTCTTTGCCTTTCAGCTTATTACAGGGCATCTCCACAAGCAGAGTTGAACATTACAATTGGTAGAATCCTAGAACCAAAGAGAAGAGAATATGTAAAAGATAAGCTTGTGTCACCCCATAGCTGCTGAAGATCAATACAGTTGTAATTTTTATGGTTTTATGAAAGAGCCTGTAAAGTAAATGACAACAGTTTTTTGCTGTGACTGTCTTTGGGACAGTGTTTTTATCATGTTGCTACAATTTTGGCTCTTTCTTGAGATGAGCAACACTGGGTTACTTGAAAAGCTTATCAAGGATTCATCAGTGAAGAAATGCTATACTTATGTTCATACATGCAATGAAATTACTTGAAGTGCTTAGACATAGGTCTTTTTAATTAAATATGGGTAGAGGTTTCAGACATCTTGCAAACTGTTTGTATTTCAGACTTTGCTTTGAAAGAGGGATGTGTCACCATAAACCTCTTGTGGATTGGGGCACTGTAGCTCAGCTCTAAAGAACAATATACAATAGCTGGTTGACAACTAATTTCATAACTTTTATACTGTATTTGATTATCTTAGTCTTTGAAAATGAGCAAGATACAGCATTTAACCAGATTCCCCCAATCTGTTCGTGTCTGAAAGACCATCATTGGAAACATCCAGTTGTATATTATAATGGATAAAATAATTCACTAAAACCAGTGAACTCAAAATCATGGTTTTGACATCCAAAACCTTAGCTGCTACTTCTGATTTTGAACCACACTACAGAAGTTTTAGGAGAATCAGTAACATTGCAGTTAATTTAAAGAAAATGTCGGTAATCTGTTTTGTGTTTATTTAGTTTATTCTTTGTAATAGTTTTTCTTTATAATTAGAAAATATTCCTATGTGGATGATTCATGGTTCTCCTTTTTCCCACCCCTCCTTTAACTTTTTTTAGATCATGAATCGGTTCAGTGGTGTTATGACAACTTCATTAACTACAGGTCCCTGATGTCTGCAGACAATGTACGCCAGCAGCTATCTCGAATTATGGACAGATTCAATTTGCCTCGTCGAAGTACCGACTTTACAAGCAGGGACTATTATATTAATATAAGAAAAGCTTTGGTTACTGGGTACTTTATGCAGGTATGTGGACAATACGGAAGGGCATTGTTAAGTATTTGGATGATAATGTTTGATTTCTGTTTTGGTCCATTGAATTCACTTAAAGCAGCAGTTCTCAATCTGTGGGTTGTGAACCCTTTGGGGGTCGAATGACCCTTTCACAGGGGTCGCCTAAGTACATCCTGCATATCAGGCATTTACATTACGATTCATAACAGCAGCAAAATTACATGGATGAAGTCGCAACGAGAATAAATTTATGGGTTCCACAACAGGAGGAACTGTATTAACCAGTTGGGACATTAGGAAGGAAGGTTGAGAACCACTGACTTAAAGGAAAGAGTAAATTTAAGAACACTTAATAAAAATCAGTCTTAAATGTTATATCCAGTTTGTTTGAATGAATTGATATACTAAAATCTGGGATATCCGTGAGTAACAAATCAATGCATTAAATGGCAGAGTTAGTAGTCCATTTATGTGGTAATCAATTTTAAAATTACCTTTTTATTAGTGGAGCCTTGGTTATAACAAACACCTTGGCCATTTTCAGGTGTGATTAGGCACTTACTTTTTTAGGAATGTGGAATTTTTGATAAGTGTATTATTGTTTCTCTGGGTCTAGATTATAATTGGAAACATCAGTATAACAGAATACTAAAAGGAAACAATTATCTGGGTGGATCCAAAAATACAGTTCACTTTCTTTCTAAAAACTAAGCACCCCAAAGTCCAACTAATGAGATTGCATTTGCAGTCCTATAGAGTGATCATAGGCATTTATAATTAAGCTTCTTGGGCACTGCTGAAGCCAAAAAGGGCTGAGTGAAGCAGTAAAGATGAAACATAATTTAGAAGGAATCATTCTGTTTGCCTGGTGTGTGCTATACAGACAGTCCCTGGGTTATGAACAAGGTAGTTTTTGTGGGTTTCATAATTGTTTTGTATAAAGTTGGAACAGGTACATTTGCATATTATCTGTAATAGAATCTGTTCATCAGGTGTTTGTTACGTGGGGACTGCCTATACTGGAGTCTATAAGAACTGAAGTAAAACTGGTCAAGTAACTATTGTGACTATTTTAAGGTGTTTAAAGCACAGAGAAATTATGTTTAATAAAAGTTATGAAAATTAGATTTGGTGAGATGTCTGTATTTAAATCTAAGTATCAGTGAGACTGTTACGGCATCGTATAAGTTTGGTGAGTAAGAGAAGTAGGTTAGGTATGAAAATCTTTTTCTAGACTTGAAATTATATTCTTAATTATATATAATAATTTTAGTATGTACTAGTTTAAATTTGCTTATGGTGGAAAAGGATGGACGAAGCTTTATTCAAGCATTGTAGCTTCCTAATTCTCTCTTTAGATTAGAATTTGTTAGAAACAGAACTGAGCATGGTGCCTATTGTCCCAACTATTAGAAAGGCAGGAGGATGGCTTGAACCCAGGAGTTAGAATTCTAATGTAGTGAAACCCCATTACTTTAAGAAAAAAGTGTTATCAGGTAGTATAGCATTTGACACCTAGTAGGCACTTAGGAAATGTTTATTCAGTAAAATTGCATTTATTTTCTGTTCTATGCACACAGTCTTTATGCACAGAATTTTAGAATTGTAAAAGGCAGATTTTTTGCTTCAGTGTTTGCTAATTAAATACTAGATGACTATCACAAGTCAAGTCATTTGATTATTGAAAAAGAAGTATAGGAACAAGAAGCACACTGAGCACCTCTCTTTCCCCATTCT